CGGTCGTCGGGGTGACCTTGCGGGGTGGGATCCGCCCCGAGGGGTCGCGCGGCTCCTCTCAACCCCTGGCGCTGTCGTCTCCGGGTCGCGTCTCGCTCCTCCCGCCGGCGCGCAGGCGCGGCCCCCGCCCGGGATGATCGCCTGCAGCATGGGGCCCCGCTGCTGCCCTCCATGAACAGGTGGCCCGCCTCGCCCCGCGGAGGGCGCGGGCCGCGCCGGCGCGGCCCCCTGGCGCGCGGACGCAGCGGCTCGGGGCCGCTGGGCCTGAGTCTGCTGGCGGCGGAACGGCGGGGGGGCGCCCCCCTTGCCCTGTGCGGCCGCCACTGTCATCCTGGTGTCAGAGCCGCTCGCCGCCTCTGCCGGGCGGCGCGGGCCGCGCCCGCGCGCCCCTCGGCGCGTCGTCGGCAATCGGCGGCGCCGCGGGGGAGAGGGCCCCCCTCGCCTCGCGCGTCTGCCCAGAAAGCTGGCCCCGCCCCCTGCGCTCGCACCGGGGGTGGCCCTGCGCGAAGCAGAGCGAGCCCGCGTGGAGAAAGCGTCACTTCTGTGGGTCGCACTCGACCATCTTGAATTGTGCCTGAGATGATCGGCTTGCCGTCTGGCGTCTGCGCCGCGCCCTGGCCTGTCGCCCGTCCGCCTCCCCTGCGCGCCCCGCCCCTGCATGCCTGCCCCGGCGGGCCGGGCCGCGGCCGCCGCGGCGCGTGGCGCAGGGCCGCCAGGCTGGCGAGGGCCAGTGGCGTCGTGGAGTTGCCCGTCGCCCTCTGGGGGGTCGCGTGGAACAACATGAGCTCCTGCTGCGCCACCTGCCCAGCCATCTTGCGCACCTGCCGCTTTCGCTGCAACGCTTGGTTCCACGGGGCGGTCGCGCGACCGCGTCGCCCGGCGCATTCCTTGCCGCGAGGTTCCTGATGGGTCCCCCGAGCATGCAATCCAGGAACTACTGAGGGCTTCCGCCCGGCAAGCTCTTGCCTGCACGTGCGTCGCAGACCGAGCGCGAGGATCTCCGCGCCCATGAGAACGCGGCGCCCCCTTTGAACCTCCGGGCCCTCAGGAGGGTCGACCATGACGGCCGCTGCCTCCGACAACTGCATCGCCCCCGAGCTGGGGCGAGACGGTGCGAGGAGTCCGGGGTCGCCGTCCTCCCCGGCTGAATAAACAGCGGCCCTCTTGATCTCCGTCTGCCTGGCTTCGAAGTGGGATCTGGCTGGCATCTGGGCCTCCTCGAGCTTCCAAGGCGACTTCTCGGAGGTCAGCTGCGTCGCCTGGCAATCGGTGGAGCTGAATGCGCCTGGCCTGTGTCGCGCTTCGGCATCGCCCGGCATCCCCGCCGCTGCTCGATCAGCGCGGGCGCCGCCCGCCGCGCGCGCGTCGGCGCCGCCGCCGTCTTGCGCGGCTCTATCCCAGCTGTCGAGCCCATGTCGGGCGCGCCCCTGGCGGACCCCTCGACGTCCTCGCCGGAGTTCGCCAGTGGAAGGAAATTCTTTCCACTGGCGCATTCAATGCGCCCAGGCTCGCCACGCGAGGGGGGCGCGCCAGCGACTGCGCGATTAGCGGCGCGCTAATTTCTTCGCGAGGAGGATGCGAGGGACCGAGTTCATCGACGCGAGCGCAACGCACCCCCCCCCCTCTCCTGCGCGAGCGCCCCCGGCGGCGCGCCGTCGATCAGCCCCACGCCGCGGTCGCGCAAGCGACGCCGAGGTGGGCAACGCCGCCACCTGGCGGGCCCCCGTTCAAACCGCTCGCGCGAAGCGGTCGCGAACCGACGACGTCTCCTCGGACTCGGCAGAGCGACGGCAACGCGCCGCGCGGCCTCGGGGCCCTGGCCGCCCGCCGCAAGGCAAAACCCAGCGCGACGGCACCCTTCCCCGCCAGGGCCCGCCCACCGCCCGCGCCGGATGGGCGGGGCCCGCGACGGCGTCTTCGACGCGCGGGGCGTCTGCAAGTGGGCGGGGGGTGCGCTGAAACGGTTTACGCCCGAGCGCCCCGCGCGGGGCGCGCCTCGGGCCGCGCTGCGGCCGGCGCCTCGTCAGCACAACGCGCGAGCGCGGCCGCTGACTGGCTCGCACCTGAGAGGGGCTCCCGCACCTAGCGCACCTAGGGGTCGCGCGGGGGGGCCCGATGTTGCCGGCCCCCTCTCGGCTGCTAGGCTGGGCACTCGCGCGACTGCTGCCGCGCAAGGCCGCGCGGGGCCCGCCGCTCTCGTGCCCTCCTCGGACGGATGCGTCTCCGTAGGCGGTCGGTCGGGCTCCTCAGAGCTAGACCATCTCGATGACTGTCCAAACTTTCATGTCGGCCACGGCGCCTGCCGTCGTCACCGCGGCCGAAATGGGGCGCAGGCATCTCTGGCAGAGCACGCCGCGCTTCTTCGCACCTGGCAATTCGTCCAAGTAAGGCGCGTTTAGCGGCGACCTGCCAGTCGCCCGGCCGCGGCCCCCGGCTGCGGGGGGCCTGGCCGCCTTGCGCGTTTCCTCGCGCGTGCGACGAATTAGCCGTCGGCCCCCATCGGCGCCCTCTGCCCAGGGGGGGGGCGGGGCACCGCTTGCTCTCCGTCTCTAACCTGAACTCGGACGTTCGCACTGCTGCCCTCGCCAGCACTGTCGTGGCCGTCCTCTGCCCACTGCGCTCCTCGCGGCGGCGTTGCTGCCCCCGTCGGCGGTGCGGCGTCTTCCGCGTCACCGTCTTCTCTGTCTTCGAGAAGGGCCTCGGGGGCCGCCCCCCCCGCGGCCGCTCGACGTTGTCTTCGGGCGCCGCGCGGGTTTCAGCTGCCGGGCTCGCAACTTTCTGCCTGCGACGAAATTTCTTTTCCGGCGCCGATTAGTTCGCCGGGCATGGGATGACCAGCTCGCTCGCCAAGCCAATGCGCTCTGGTTTGCTTCTTCCCTCGGGCCCCCCTGAAAGCACCGCCTCCGCGAGCCGCTGCTGGAGCTCAGAGACGACCGCGCGGCGCGCCCTCGCGCGGGCGCCCGCGCCTCCTGGCGACCACATGTCCAGAGAATTGCGCTCCCATGCTGGGGGTCGCCGCCTGGGCCGAAAGGATCGCCTACGGCCCCGGCAACTCTGCCTGGAAGCCCGCGACCTCTACGGCGGTGAGATGCTCGACCGCGTCGCGCGCGCAGGCCGCCGCGGCGCGCCCCCTGGCCCGCCGCCGCCGCATCTGCGTGCCCAGCGGGCTCGCAGAACACATGCTGCCTGGCGTCGTCGCACCGCGGCAGGAAGTAACCCATATCGACATCCGCGATCTTCCCCCACAAGTGGAAGCCCGACTGCGTCCACGTTGGGCCCAGCCTGTAGCACTCACGGGATGCCGCGCGCAAAAACTCTGGCTCGTTGCGCCCCGCTCTGCTAGTCTTCGATCAGCGAGGACGCCAGCCCCGCGTTCACGAAGGCGCAGCGCTGTGGCGGGAGCCACCTGCGGTGTCGCAGCGCAGCTCCGCCCGCCTCGCGATACCCTCGTCCATGACCAGCCGCTCGTGGGCCCAGTGACTGAGCTGGGGAGCTGTGGCTGCCCACGTCGCCGAGCCTTCGCCCGCGCCAAAGTGCATCTCCACGTTCGCGACGACCTGCTGCGCATCGAACCGACAAGAATCTGTCGCTCTGGTCCACGCTCGCCAGGCGCTCTGTCCACACCGTGGCGCAGAGTGCCTCGTCGGGCACCGTCGGCCCGCACGGCTCTTTGGCGCGCGCGCGCAACCGATGAAATTCACGATCGACACGGGCCACGGGACACCGCGCGCGCAAGGTCCGCCTCTCCATTGCCCGCACGTAGAACAGCACTGTGTAAATGCGCGCGCGGTCCGTGCTGCCGTCTTTTGCCTGCTCCGGGTCCATGCGGAACCGCTACGTCTCCAGCGAAGGCGCGACCGTTTGCTCGAGCAACGTGATCCGGGTCCTTTTCTGCGCCTCCAGCCCGCGACGGCTCTCCCTCGCTGCCGCGCGGCGGCTCCGCGGGAAGCGGGCCCCCGCCATCGTGCGGGCCTCCAGCGGCGGCTGGGCCGCTGGCGCCCCTCGGCTGGTCGCCACCACGAGGCACGCCACGACGTCCTCCAGCATGGTCCGTCCACGGCAGCCATGGAACGCCCTCAGCCGTTTCTGCACTGGCTCCTCGGCTACTGCCTGGTCCGGGAACTCCTTCAGCGGCCGCCGTGCCTCCACCGCCGTGCCCCCTCCACGCTGAGGTCCGCAGCCGCCGCCACTTGTTCGAGCGTTCTCTCGGATTCGTTTTCGTCCGCACGGAGCGCCAAGCGCGAGCCGAGGAGCCCGTACTCATGAAGCGGTTTGCGGAGGCGCCGCCCCCTGGCGTCGAAGGCGCACGACCAATGAGCCAGCATTTTCCTACCACCGTTGTTCAAAATCGGCAGGACGCCTGAGTTCAAATGGCCACAGAAGTCAGGCAAACAGAAAACAAAGCATTTTCTTGTTGGCGCACGGGGGCACCTGGAGCAAACTGGTAAGACGAATGTGGGCCGGACTAAGGGGAGATCCACATTTTGAAAAGGCGCCGTCCTCTATCCTTGAGACTGTTGCAAACTTCTGAAGGGAACGAAGGGCGGCGATAAAGCGAGACGTACATTTTGAAAACGGACCGCCCACTATCCGTAAAGCAAATGCACCTGTCAAGCTTAAGGGTCGCGACCGGTGTGGCGATCTCGATCGAAACGCCCGGCCCTCCCAACTGATAAGACTGGGGGTGCTTCGGTATTCTTTTTGGGGAGGGACAGTAGGGAAACGAACCATCACATAAACATGAAATTTCGGAGGTCCGCGCGGATTTCTTGGATCCGCGCTGGGGCCCCCTGGCGTCGCTTCCGGCGCCGCCCCTGGCGCGCCCCACGCGCCAGGGAGGGGGGGTCCAGCGCGGATCCAAGAAATCCGCGCGGACCTCCGAGTTTTCATGTTTATGTGATTTTTCCTTCCCCTACACAAGAGGCGGAGAACACGGGAGGCCGAAAACATCGGGGTTCACCTCGGTCTGGGCGCGCCGACGGCGGCGGCGGCTGTCACGCCTCTGCAGGCCGAACATGTCGGAGACGATCTGGCCGACCTGCGTCCGAGAAAAAGCGGGCGGGGAGGTGCGCGGAAGAGAGAGGGGTGCCGCAAGGGGTGGAAAGGGGCGCATAGGAAGACGGAGGCGGCGGGCGAGGTGAGGGGGGAGGGGGAGGAGGGGGAGGAGGGAGGATGGAGGAAGGAGGAGGGAGGAGGGAAGAGAGAGGAAGAGGACGAGGAGGAGGAAAAGGATGACGAGGAAGAGGACTTGAAGTGATATGGCTTAATGGGGCGCCTTAACCCCATGTGATATGGCCTGCGGCCATCTCCACCCCAGGGTTGACAGGGGGACCTTAGCCACAGCAGGCCACCCTAGGGTGACAGGAAGAACTGGACCTCCCCAGAGCCCTACAACTTCTCGTTGTATCGAGGGAAGACGCGTGCCAGACCTAAGTGTCCAATGACATTTGCTGTGCTGCATCGCGCGGCACGCGCACCCCATGCGCACGATCCCCTCAACCAAACCTGCTTTAACAATTCTAACGCCGGTTTGGGCGCAAACGGTTTAACACATTTAACGCCTGCTGCGCCGCACCGTCCCCGTGACATTTGCAGCACCTTGTGTGACGTGGGGGGATAGCGGATGGGACGGTACGCCTAAAACCTGGGTAGTTGCAAGTTCCCGTGCTGACGATGTGTGGTCGTTTGAGTGAGCAAAAAGTGTGGGCGCGGTGCGGCATGGATTCACGGATACGCCGGTACATCCAAACATACATCCAAAAAGGCATCAACAACTGGTTGCTCTGGTATGTGGTGTTGCATCTGTCCCGGCCGCGTGGCCGATAACTTGGGGGTAAAGTGTCGAAAGTGTACATCCAAGCAGCAGGACCGTGAGACACGATACTTTGCAACACGCATGGCGTTGTTGATGAGGACCTTGGATCTGTTCGGGAGTGCATCGGGACCTACGGACGGGAACCAGTAGTGAAATGTGCCATGCACGTGGTGACAACGATGAACGCGTGACGATGCGAGCGACAAGCGCGCTTTTTCCCTTGAGAGTGACCAGGGAATCAGAGAGAGGAGACAAGGAGGTACTCGCCCTGGCAAACCGCAGGGCCAACCGTTGAGTTCGGGTGTTGCCCACGAATAAACTGATCCCAGGAGTACCGCGTTCCATTTGACGTGAACTCCATGAGGCAATCCTCGCCGAGCCTCCTGAATGCATCTGTTTCCGAATCTGCTCCACAACGGCTGCATATGAAAATTACCCCCAACGAGTAGTTGGAGAAGTGCAGCGTGTGTTTCCGAGGGTTCGCTACCAGGTTGCTGAAGAGGGCGCTGTACCCCTGGCAAGGGGATATCGTGGGCGACGGCTTGCGCTCCCCTTTTACAGATCGCAGCCAGCGTTGACATGCCCAGCGCGAACGCTTCCATGCCCAACCATGGCCCTCCACGGTTGCCGCAACGTCCGCTGCTGCTTCGGCTGGCGAGGGCGGCGGCGGGGGAGGAGGTACGGGGGGCAACGGCAGGATTTGCAGAGCGGCGCCAATGCCAATGACGAAGCCTGGCTGACGCAGAGACCGCGTAAATGTGGACCGCAACGCCTTTGTAGGCGCCAGCCTGGGGAACAACGTGAGCGCTCGGACCACATACTTCAGATAACGACCTCCGAGCCCGACGGCTGCGCTAAGATGAGGGCTTCTTTCTTGGCGTAGCGGTCTGCAAAGTTGTTGCCGACCGCTTGCCACCACTCGTAGGACAAGTGTGGCAGGTCGTCAGGGCTCACATGGGCCAGAACCTTCAGAATCTGGAAATCGTGGGCCCACGAAGGCGAGCCTCGAATCTGCGCGTGGAGCCCGGCATTGACGTGCTGTCTCGCCGTGAGCTGGGCCTACGGCGCGTCTGCCATCTTTGCACGGCCGAGGGGATCTGAACATACTAAAGTCACACGCGGGCAACGCTGCGTCAATATCAAAACGGCTATATGTTCAGCAACCGGTGAGGTTTGGGGGTAGTCGGCTCCTACCGCCCGCCACAACGCAGCGAATGGCTCCCCTGCTGGCGTGATCCTCGCTACAACCCAGACGGCTGCATGGACGGTCACGGTGCCGTCCTCTTAAATCGGGTCGGGCGAAAGGGGGGGATAGCAAAGGGGGGGGGTGAGAATCAGCTCACGTAGCTGATTTTCCCAGCGCCTCCCGGCGCCGGGAGGCGGCTATGTATCGAGGAATGGGCCCCTCGGTGGGGCCGAAACCAGCTGCATGCAGCAGATTTCGTAACCCCCCCTTTCCCAATCCCCCCCTTTCGCCCGACCCGATTAAAAACAAGAGCCATCCGTGAATACCTCCCCTGTGAACGCTTCCTCGATCGAGAGGCCGTCTCGCAGACACCAATGCTGCTGCGTGCCCGAGCCCGACCCTGCCGGCGGATTGGCCACGGCCTCAGGCCGCTCCTGCAAGCCGCAAACGGAAGGGAAAATTACAATGCCGGGCCGAAATCCAAATCTTGTCCGCTTCAGTGAGCAGTTCGTCTCGGAGCTGGCGGGTGCCTCGGCTCCATGTCTCGAATGGGCAACGGCCGCGGCTTCGCCAGCAGCGGGGCTCGATCGTCCCGAGGGGCGGCCCCTGCTCCGCAAGAGGCGCGAGCCATGCGAGTGTGTGTGTGCTGTTTTGCCTGGGGCAGCCGAGAGCCTCCCAGCCTTCTCGCCCCCTCCCCCGCGCCCTCGTCCCCCCTCCCCAGCACCAGCGACTCGACTGCGCCTTGTTACTAGGAATAGTTGGAGGCCTGGAGATTGCCACCCACACCAACAAAAAGGGTTGGCTCCACCTGGGTGGGATGATCCTGGATGTTGGTGGTGGTGGAAATCTCTCTACCATCTAGGAGGCCCAGGTGATCTTCCGGCGGTGGAGGCAGACCGCCGATATTGGTGTTGGTGTCAACCTCGAGGCCTCCGAAAGAGGGCGGGTCCTGAGTGAAACGGGTCCTGGGCCATGGGGCCAACTCTTGGCCCTGAATCGTTCCTTGTTGACCGTCTCGGGGGCCCAAGGAAGGCCCCATAAGCCCGAAAACGGCTAACACATGTTCAGAGAGTAGTTCCCTCAGGACCCGTCTGCTCCTTGGCGACCATCTTTGGAGCCATACCGAGTCGGCTCCGCGAAAGAGAGGCCCTAGGCAAGAAAGACCTGTGGCGCGCGGCCTGAGGGGGTAGCCCTGGGGGGGGGGAATCCGAGCACGTGAGCCCGCGCTGAGGGGGACCCCTGCGGGCACGCACCAAGAATCACTCCGACGAAGGCTCTTAGGTGTAGACGACCGGTGTGGGGGGGCCAGAAGAGACGAGGTTTGCTCGGCCCAGTTGGGTGGCCTTCAGCCCGTGGGCCATCTTGCCGCCGCCAACCACGCCCCCGAAGCTCATGCCCGTCTTCCTCGCGAAGGCCATTCCTCGCGATGACGACGACGAGCAACGGAAGCATGAGGGATAAAGGGGGAGGAGAATGAATGGGAGGAGGACCCTCCTTCCACCAACTGCTTCTCCTTCCCCCTCTGCTCTTCCGCCTCTTCTCTCTCGTTCTCTCTTTCCGTCTCTCTCTTCCTCTCTCTCTCTCTCTCTCTTTCTCTCTCCCTCTCCCTCTCTCTCCCTCTCTATCTCGGTCCCTCTCTATATATCGATACAGGTGTATGTATGATTGGATATCCCTGTATCTCTTTATCTCTCTATACATATATGCAATATCTCTCTCTTTCCCTCTCTCTCTGGCAATCTGGAAGCTTCCAGAGACCTCTCGACACTTGCGGATACTTCTGGACACCTCCGAGAGCCTCTGCACATCTGCAAATGCTCCGAAAACGTCTTTTTCTCATCCATCCTCGTCCCGCATCTTCCTTCTCTTCTCCCCTCCTCCTCCTCCTCGCCTTCCACCTTCTCCTTGCCCCCTTGTCGTCCCCCTCTGGTCTGCGCAGCTCCCACGGCGCTCAAGAAGGCCCTGAGAATCCCGAGGAGGCTCCTGCAGGCATTTTGGGATGCTCCCAGAGGTCCCCCAGAATGGGCACCTTTGAGGGCTGATCGGAACGGTCCCAACTTCGGCTCGGCGGGTGTCCCGCTCTTCTACTTTAGAAACGCTCGTCCAATGCTCCTGACCATGGCAACGTGCTTTCCATGGTGCGCAAAGCATCCAGAAATTCTCATGCTGGAGACCAGTCCACTGTTCAACCAGACTACGATACCACGAGAGCAGATCGAGCAGGGCAAGAAGACAGAGAGAAAGAGAGAAAGAGAGAAAGATAGGGGAAGGAGCAGCAGGTGGGTGGTTCCCCTCATCATCTTCTTAGTCCTCCCGATCCTCATCCTCTTCATCTCCCCCCGTGCATTGATATGCTTACCACTATTCGTCCGCCCCTCATCCCGATCCTCCTTCTCATCTCCTCTTACCCCAGCAGCCTGCAGACATCTGCCCATCCGTATGCCATTCCTTCTGTTTTACACACTCCCATACCCCAACCCAACGCGTTTCATTTGCGTCTCAAGCACGGCCCCAGAAGTCCCGAACCGTTCCTGCCAGATGATTCATCCCGAGTCGTTGTTTGACGGTCCTGGGGCCCATTGGGGGGCCCTAGATGCAGTCAACGACGGACAGCTATGTTTAACGTGTCAAGGCGTTGGATGTCTGTATCCTCGTCATCACCCCTCCTCGTCGGCATCCCACGTCATCATCCTGTTCCCCCCCCCATTCCTCCTGCTTCTCTTCGTGGACCTTCCCTGCGCCTCGCCTGCCCCCCGACCACCCCCTCCCTTCTCACACTCTGGCTCCTCGTCCTCCCTCCTTGACTTCTTGAACACCCACATTCACCTCCTCTGTCCTCCATCCTCCCCCCTCCCTCCCGCTGACCGTAATCCTCCCGCCCGCAGGAGGCCACCTCACTGACAACGGCACCGATCCTGACCCCATACGCTCCCATCTTCCCATTGTGCTGATCCTTATCCTCATCTTGCTCCTCCTACTCCCTCCTCCGTTCCTCCACGTCTTCCTGCACCTCCACCCGCTGACCATTTCCCTGAGAACTAGCTCCTCCCTGGCGCACGTGCACTTAGGGCGTGCGCATGGGTTTCGCCTGAGACTTCCTCACGTACGGGATTGAAGCTTGCCGTTTGACAGAAGTGACCTGGTGGAGGGCGGATGGTTTTGAATATGGGGGTCCCGCCTTGGCGCCGCGCACGCTTGCCTTACAAAACAACTATTGCACGGATGGAGAGCGAGCCAAATGCGACGGTGTGGACGGCCTTGGTGCCGCGCACATTCGTCTTCAAGCATCGGCCAACAAGACGAATGGATGGCGGGTCGTTTGCAACACGGGACTCTCACCATGGCTCCGCGCACGGATGAAGGGCGGATCGCTTCCCAAAGGGAACCCTCGCTTTTGTGCCGACCACACCCATCTTGGAACACAGGGCAAGTAGCTATACTAAACTGTGGGCGGGTCGTTCTCAAAATGGGCTCTCGTGTTGGCGCCGAGCACACTCGACATCCACATCCAACAGCTAGAAGAATGGAGGGTGTCATGTGTCCAACGGGGGGCGCTCGCTTTGGCTGCACGCTCAGCCGTCTGAAACAAGGACAGTGTTGCATGACTGGACGGCGGGTCGTTTTCAACACGGGGCGCTCCTCTCGGCGCCGCGAACACTCGCCTGAATCAAACTCCAACAACTAAACGGATGGACGGCGGGCCGTTTTCAAAATGGGGCGCCCGTCTTCGCGCCGCACGCGCCCGTCTTAAATACATCAGCCGTCGCACGGATGGATGGCGGGTCGTTTCCAAAACGGGGCTCTCGCATGTTGGCTGCGAACGCTCTTCATACAATTTCCAAGACCTAGGCACATACAGTCGACCCGTGTGACAAAGCTGCGCCGAGAAGGAGGCAAGGTCCTGGAACCTCCATTTCGAAGCTTCTCGAGCGAGGCGCGGCCGACGAAAGTGGTCAAGGATTGACCGAGGAGGCAAGGCTGCAAGGGTACTCCGAGTTTCTTAATACGCGTCGGGGGGCGTCACCCCTGCCGACAGCCCCACGTCGACCCCCGTCGCGGGCAGCCACCGCGCGCCGACGGCGCTCCGACCCCCGTCGCGGCGCGACGACGAGGCGAGATTAACCCCCGTCGGGGGGGGGGACCTCCCCACGCATATTAAGAAACCCCAGGGTGCCCTTGGGAAAACTGCCCATCCCTACGGGTTGACTGTGCTGCTTAAGGGTTCGCTTGATCTCATGGCCCGCCGAGCTCATGCAGGCGTTGCACGACTGGACTGCAAATCAAGTTTTAACAACACGGGGCGTCCCTGGGCACCGCTTGGAACGGTAAGGCTCCCCCCCCAGGGTCGCAATACTTCTCCTCCTCCTCCTCCTCCTCTTCCTCCTCGTCCTCTTCCTCGTCCTCTTCCTCCTCCTCTTCCTCCTCCTCTTCCTCCTCCTCTTCCTCCTCCTCCTCGCTGAGGTCAGACATTTCTTTCAAGGAGGATCTCCCGCCAGAAATGGCGGGCCCACGTATGTGGCGCTCGTCTTGGTCAAGGCGGGCGCTTCGCGCCGTGCGGCAGACAGCTGCAGGGACGAACGAGGAGGAGACTTGGGACGGGACGGTGTAGTGTTGCATCGTTTATACACATTGGGTGTACTCTAGTCCTCCTCCTCCTCCTCCTCCTCCTCCTCCTCCTCCTCCTCCTGCTCCAAACTCAGACGCCGCATGTTCAAACGGCCCAGAGTGCCGTAGATGATGGCCTCAACGTTGTTGCCGAGGCCGTCCTTGGCGGCGTCCTCCTCCCTCTCCTCCTGTTCCGCCCCTACTGGGGAGGAGGGGAGGGGCCAGGAGGGGAGGGGAGGAAGGAGGGGGGGACGAGGGGGAAGTAAGTAGGTGGAAGGAGGAGAAGGAGGGCAGAGGGGAAGGAGACGGGGTGAGGAGGAGGAGGAGGAGGAGGAGGAGGAGGAGGAGAAGGAGGATGAGGATGATGAGGAGAAGGAGGAGGAGGCAGGAGGGAGGGGGGGGAGGAATAGGCGGAGGGACCTCCAGCAAAATGTAAGGTGTTCCCCGAACTTCGGGGGCTCCTGGGACTGCTTGCCGGCCGTGAGAAACGACACATTATGAGACATCACTTGCTCGCAGAGACGGGGCCGAGAACTCATGTGGCCCACTGGAGTGGGACCCCTGACACATACACACACATGCATCTATATATATATATATATATATACACACAAATCCTTCGCCGAGAGAACATCCGGCACGGCCCGTCTCTCCTCACCTTGGGCCTTGAGCGGCCCGCTTCGGGCCCCGGGACTGTCAGCAACAATCCCGCAGGAGGAACTGGTCTCCTGAACGGGGGCGGTAGCTCCAACGTGCGGGGCTGGGCCACAAACCCCTCCAACTCCGTCCTCCCCAGGGAGGGGAGCGACTTGAACAAATCTCGCGGTTTGTTCTCGCGATATGCGGCACTGGGTGGAGGTCGGTTGATTCTTGGCCCGAAGGCCCGTCTCAACGACGGCCGCCCTCCCCTTCCCTCCCTGCTGACCTCTTCCTCCCCAACCCCGCCTGCTCCGTGCCGACTGTCTCCCCACAGGCAAACGCAGCCTCCCTCTCTCGTCCCTCTTCCCTCCCCCCCACAGGCGCGGTCGTCTCTCCCGTCGATGAACAGGCGCGGCGCGGCCTTGCCGTTGAAGGAGCAGACCTGGGGAGGGGAGGGGAGGGACGAAGACACCACGAGGGAAGCGGGCCTGGCTGAGGCTGGCGCCCAGATGGCTCCGACGCGTTGGCCTCCACAGCCACCGCCTCCACCCCCGCCTGCCGCCTGCCGCCTGCCGCCTCCCGCCTGCCGCATGCCGCTCCCGCCTGTCGCCTGCCCTTCGCCGCCTGCCGCCTGCCGTCTGCCGCCCCCGCCTGCCGCTTCGCCTGCCGTTGAGCCTCCACAGCCTCCACCTTCCTGCTTCGCACCGGCGCGCGCCGACAGAGCGCGCAACGTGACGCCAGCCACAGGGCACCAACCCCAGGACACCACGGGACCACCCACGGCCGCGGGGGCACCAGAGAGGACCGTCTACAGGGCACCAGGCACGGGGCACAAGCCAGCGCGGCGCCAAACATGCTCAGGGCACCGAGCGCGAACGAACGGCCGAGGCTTCCTAGGGTTAGGTTGGGCATGTCCCCCTGCAGGCGGACTTTGGGCGAAAATTTAAAAGGAGTCAGAACATGCCAAACACATAATCCAAACTAGTCAAAAAAAAAAGTCCCCAGCCCTGTAGAGGGCACCACCTGGGGCACCAACGCACAGGGCGCCGGCCAGAGGCCACCGAGCTCGCGAACGGTCGGCCGCGGCGCCCTGGGCACCAATTGCGAATGTAAGGCACCATCGCGCACACGGCACCCGACGCGCGAGCAGCCGACTGCCGGCACGCGGGGCCAGCCCCCTGCTTGGACGCCCGAGTTATCCGGGGTAACTCGGGTCCGGGATAACTCGGGTTTGGATTCCCATCAAAGGAACCCGAGTTAGCCCTGACCCGAGTTATCCCTGATGATTCGGGGCTCTGGGCGCCCGAGTTATCCGGGGTAACTCGGGTCCGGGGTAACTCGGGTTTGGATTCCCGGAAAAAGAACCCGAGTTATCCCTGACCCGAGTTACCCCTGATGATTCGGGGCTCTGACCTGCTGCTGCCCAGGCAAGGGCCCCTCCGGTGCGACGCCGACGACGGCGGGCCGAGAGGGCCTTGCACTCGTCCAGGTCGAAGACGAGTGCCGACACGGTCCTGGCCGTCCCGTGCAGCGCGAGCGCCCCAGAGGGCGACCCGGCCTCCGACGGCGGGGCCGGCGGGCTGGAGGGGGGGGGGGCAAGGGAGGCTGATGCTGTCGCTGCCCGTTTTACGGCGTGGGACACGTGCGAATCCTCCAAGTTTGCACATCGTCCTATGTCCATCACAACTCATCCCCGCTCCTTTGCGCAGGGGGGGGGAGCATGCATGTGGGGGGGCGGAAGGGGCAGTGGGGCGCTGGGGCGGAGGAAGCAAAACGGAGGAGGGGGCCTGGAGGAGGGAAGGAAGGGGCGGAAAAGGCCGAAGTGGAGGATGGGGAGGAAGGGAACCAGAATATCCACCAGGACCAAGACACATCAACGATGCTGCAGCACGCCCTCCGGAGCCCCACCCTTTTTCCCGCGGCGAGGGCGCGGGCGGCCCCAATTGCGCGGCCCGAGCGAGACACGCGCGACCCGCGCCGCGATCCGCTCGTGCCGCCTGCCCGGAGTCATGCTGCAGAGCCAGTCGGTTCGGAAGGCAGTGTCCCGCCCGCTTCGCCGCGTCCTCGCGGCGCCGTGTGCTCGAAATCGTAGCCATCGTTCGCGCGCGCGCGCCCTGTGGCATCGCGTCGCGCAGGGGCATTCCCACATTCGGGCTGAGCTTGGCCCGCGGGCAGGCTTTCGCCAGTGCTGCCGCGACCGCGGGTCCAGATCGCCATTCTTCCTGTCCACCATCACTGACGCGGCGGTGTGCCCGCGCTGGGCAGCCGCGACTCGTGACCTCGCATCGCGCCGGAGTGCACTCCCGGGAACCACTCGGGGTTGCCGTCGACATCCACTCGCGCATCCCCGACCTCGCGGGGCGCCGCCGCCTGACACCGTCAGTCTGGCGGCGATCTATTGCAGTCACGCAAGTCCCTACTCGCTTCGCAAAATCAAGGCGTTTTGGGCACTTCCCGCGGGCAAAGGCGGCCGGCGGGGGGCGACAGACGGAAACGCGCACCAGGCGCCCCGGTCGATGGCGCCCGCCGCTGCGCCGAAAAGGCTGCGGCGAGGGCGGGGCCGCGCCGAGACGACCGCAGAGGGGGGAGGTTCGGCGGGGGCCGGGGCTGAGGGCGACGAGGAGGAGGAGGAGGAGGAGGAGGAGGAGGAGGAGGAGGAGGAGGAGGAGAAGGAGGAGGAGGAGGAGGAGGAGAAGGAGGAGGAGGCTGCAGCCGTGCAGACGACCGCACGCACGCTTCGGCACGTTTTCCAGACCCCGCCTCCAGGGACCGCAACCCCTGCCGCGGGGCGTACAGTTAACACGTATGGTAAGAACGCAGGAGAAGGATCAAGGGCCTCGGAAGGCCATGCCGACTCTTTGCGTGCGGGGCGCGGCCAGCGAAAGCGGCCAAGGATGGGCCGAGGAGGCAAGGATGGAAGTGTACCCTTGGAAAGGTTGCCCATCCTTACTAGTTATGCGGGTTGATTGTAGTTGCTGTCCGCGTACACCGCGCCCTCTTTGCGTGCGGAACAGTAGAAATTCCCTCGTCACGTCGGTGTTCGCTGGCGGCCTAGCCCATCGCGCCTCGACGTCGACGTCGGCACGTGGGGCGGGCGTCCTTGAAGACTCACGCACGCTGTCCTGGCCTACAATCAACCAGTATAATAAGGATGCGCGGTAAGGATGCAAGGGCCTTAGAGGGCCGTATTTAAGTTCTTTCGAACAAAATTGGCCAGCGAAACTCGCTAAAGATGGGCCGAAGGGGCAAGGATGCAATAATAGCCTTGAAATTGCTCATCCTTACTATGCGGGTTGACTGTAACCCGCCCCATCCGCCCAGGGCATCTGCCAGCTCGGTTGCGCGCGCAAGCAATTTCGGCCAGCGTCGCGCGGGCGCAAAAGGCCGCTCCGAGACCCAACCAGCGAACTCCTTCCAGAAGTGCGGGCTCTCCGAATCATACAGGACTCGAACGCGCGGGGCATCTCTCAGATGTCAGGCGGCATGTCACGCACGGACCCAACGACACGCAGGACCTGAACGCGCTTATCATCTCTTAGATTTCAGGCGGCCTGTTACGCACCCAAACCCACCGCAGAAACACATGATGGAGCACCCTGTGGCCGTCGGCGAGGTTGCCGGATGCGTGATTTGGGTCGCTAGATGGCGCCTTTCCTTTGTTTGCCCCTACGGCTTCGGAATATGGGAACTCACCAATACCTTTGCTGAAGGCATTCTGCGCCGTGCCCCCACCTTCGTTCTTCCTCCTCCTCCTCCTCCTCCTCCTCCTCCTCCTCCTCCCCCGTCTCATCTTCCATATCTGGATCACTTTAGCGTGACCAACGGGACGCTTAGTTGTTTCACCCTGCTCACGCACCGTCTGGTGCAAGGCACACCTGACCTGACCTGACCTGCATCCCCTGACTATCCACCGCCCACAAGTCGCACCAAGATTCCACTGGCAACCGCTCCGAAACAGCAGCCCGCAGCGTCGTCGCCTGCTCCATCAATGGGCGCATCCGGCCGCGCCGTCAGCGTCTTCGCCGCTGTGGCAGGCCACTCCTCAATTCTGTTTGTCTCGACGTGTCGGGAATCCTTCGTCGCGAAGCCGACCGCGTCAGACCCGGCGCCGCGCCAGACTGGTCCGCAGGCGGTTACATTCATACGCACACGCGCACTCACACGCACTCGCACACGCACACGCACACGCACATAAACCTGCTTCTAGGCAAAGCGGCAGAGGAGGCGACAGAGGGAACGTGTGGGAAAGGAGAGGGTAACGTGTGGGAAAGATTGAGGATAGGGGTGCGACGTGGGATAATATGCCCTCTGAGTTATCCGTGAAGGCTGCCCCGAAAACAACCACACACATGAGGATATCCAACCCGTTTCCAAGATACTCCAAAACGGCCCAGAAACCATGGAAGGAGGAGATGGGGCATGAAAGAAGGAGGCACAGACAACACTCACAGGAAGGACATGAAGGGGGATCGGAAGAGGAGCTTGCAAACGCGCCGCCAAGTTGAGGATCCAACACGTTCCCAATGCACAAAGCATCCTCGTAAAGTCCAAGGAAGGTCCAAATGGCCTATTCAGCCCGTCCGCGTCTGGAGGCTGGCGAGGGGAACGAAAGTCAAGATGAGCAGAGGGAAGGAAAATGAGAACTGGAACAGTATACCTCGCCGATGAAGATCAAACGTGTTCTCATGACTGCCCAATACGGGCACAGGACGACCCAATATCAGAAGACACCCCGCGTGCCTGGAACATATGGACTTCGCTATGAGATCCGATCTTGGGGTATGGCAGTGCTGAAATGCGCTGGGTGCGGCGCGCGGCATTTTTTTTTTATTGTTTTTTCCCCCCCCCCGCCACAGGTGCCGGCCGCAGCGTGGACTCGCGGGCGGAGCCCACGCGCACCCCCGCCGTGGCACGCGCGGTGTCCGGGATGGCCTCGCCAGGGACCGCGGCCCGCGGGCCCCCCGGGCCCGCCGCGGCGCGGCGCGCGGGACTCGCCCTGCCCTGCGAGGCTCCGCCCCACCTGCAGCATCTTCGGCGAAGTCGTCGCACCCCTCCTGCTTCTTCTTCTCCTCCTCCTCCTCTCCTCTCCTCCACCCCCCCTTCCTCCGTAGAATGGCTGAGGGCCCCTCCGCTCAGCTGTACCCAGCCTCAACGCCACGCTTCTGCAACCACGCGGCGAAGTCCGTCAACCTCTCGCTGGCGTCGTCTTTCTGGCCTTCCCGCAGCACCCACTTGCAGAAGCCCGGCTCCTGCTGGACTTCATGGGCCCGAGACCCCCTGCTTCTGCAACCACTCGGCGAAGTCCATCAACCTCCCGCTGGCGTCGCCTTTCTGGCTCTCCCGCAGCACCCAGTTGCAGAAGCCCGGCTCCTGCTCCAGCGCCTCCTCGTACGTCAGGACCGCGTGCTTCGAGAACCCGACGAGCCCAGACCTCATGGGCGAGACCCCCTGCTTCTGCAACCACTCGGCGAAGTCCATCAACCTCCCGCTGGCGTCGCCTTTCTGGCTCTCCCGCAGCACCCACGTGCAGAAGCCCGGCTCCTGCTCCAGCGCCTCCTCGTACGTCAGGTCCGCGTGCTTCGAGAACCCGAGAAGCCCGTCACTGAACGGCGAGACCCCCTGCTCCTGCAACCACTCGGCGAAGTCCGTCAACCTCTCGCTGGCGTCGTCTTTCTGGCTCTCCCGCACCACCCAGTTGCAGAAGCCCGGCTCCTGCTCCAGCGCCTCCTCGTACGTCAAGTGCCCGTACTTCGAGAACCCGACTTCCCTGCCGCTGCGCTGGACGTCCGAGCGGCCAAGGCCGCCGCCGGGCTCCTCGTAGCGGCGGCGCACCCCGAGGCGCGCCGCGCCGCCAGGGAGCCCTCGGCCCGGAGCAGCCCGGCCCGCGCCCGGCGGCGCGCGCCCGGCGGCCCCTCCGCGGGCGGCGCGCGTGGGCGGGCACCACCCCGGCGGCCCCGCGGCCGCGGCGAGCGCCGCGGCCGCGAGGCACCAGGGACCCACGCGGGGGCGCGCGCGGCCCTTGGCGGCCATGATTGCTCTGCGGGCTCCCCAGACCCCCTCGCGCCGTGAAACAAATCGCGACGGTCGTTGTTGTTGTTGTTGTTGTTGTTGTTGCTGAGCACCGGCCTCGGTCGGGGGCGGCTCGAGGGTCGCTGGGGCGCGCTCCCTCGCAGCGGGCTCCTTGAGCCAAAATGGCTACGGAACGCTGGGTGCGGCGCGCGGCATTGAGGATCTCAGACTCCGTTCACTGGCCCTCCAGAGGGACGCAGAGGATTAGGAGGGAGGACAGGGAAGAGGGGAAGTAGGAAGTGGGAAAAGAAAGGTTGCGAACATGATGGTATTGAAATCTTGCGACTGTATCACTTACGATATAAGCTTGAAGCCTCTGGTGTGTGGTTTTCTGACATTTGCTGTGAGCTTTCGGCCAGGAGGGGCAGGAAGGGGAGGAGAAGCAGCAGGAGGTATTCAGGCGCCTCTATGCCGTTCAAGGAGTTTGGGAAGTGCTGGGGGGAGCGCAAGGGGGGCTGGGAATGGGATCAGACAGCCTACACTGCAAGTAATCCGTGGGATAGAGACGATCAAACTTTTTTCCTCTCTAGACGAGACCGTGCCCACGTCTGTAACGTCAAGACCTTGCGAGCCGAAAGAGGCAAGGGGGGTGGGGATACGAGATGTGAGACGGCACACGCACACACACACACACAAACACACACACACACGAGGGGACTGGGGGGGAGGAGGGGAAGGGCGAGATGGCGAAGGAAGCTCCCAAAGGCTTCTCCTCCCCCTCCCGCTCGGATCGGAGAGACGCACGACTCGAACTTCGGGGCCTCGAATTCTCCTCTTCGGGGCCATCAACAGAATGGGGGGACATATTCTGGTCTGAAAGTCGGCGCGATCTCCCGCTGCAGGCATCCGGGGGGCTGCTCAGAAATCGGTCACCCCCCAAAAGGTACCAAACAATTCGCATGAATGAAAACGGGTCCTGCGAGAAACGGCTCCTGGGCTCCCGGGGCACTCCCCCAAGACCAGTTGCTTCGACAGCCTCGCCGATGCTGTGACAGTCCCAGGGTCGACGAATGGCCCAAGGAGGCCGAAAACGGCGACGCGCCTCCAGCACCCGTTGCTCTCGGGACCCCCATGGCGAAGATCGGCGGCGAGCCCGGGGGTAAGTGACAAGGGGCAGGCCCTCTCGGGAGGCGGCGGGGCTTCTCACGGGCCCTCGCGCCTTCTGAGAGGCCGTGTGGGTTTTCTTCTGAGAGGCCGCGACTCCTTCTGAGAAGCATCCCCCCCGGGCGCGCAGCCAAGGTAAGGGCATGCGATGGGAAGACGGAGCTGAGGGGCAATGTTAGGGGAAACAGGCTCAGGGAGGGACACATCGAGCTGGAGTCGGCGATACATCGCCGATAGGTTGGCAATGGCCCCCGATAGCGAATTCGCCCGCTCTTTGGCAGGGCGGGCTATCGGCCCCTCTCGGCGACGGAAAAATTGTTGGAGGTCGATGCGAGACCCCCCTGATGCGGGCAACATCTATGTGCACATCCACTTCGTCTTGGACATTTTGACCCCCTCCCCCAGAAACCTGAGACGAAGCAGAGACGGAATAAAACCCGGCCTCTGGCGATGCCAAGTTTTCACCCACATCCACTGTGTCTCGGGTTCTTAGGATCCCTGCCCCCCAAAAAAACAGGAGGCCTTGGATATGGATACACATCTTGCTCCCCCCTGAACCATAACTCAAACCCCCAACGGCCGTTCAGGAGGATCCAAACACCCCCAGAAGAGGCGCAGCTGCTGAAGGCAGCCAGCCGGACGCTGGACAGGCCACGAGAACCGACGAAACCGCCCGAACACCTGGAACCTCGACACCTCGAAGCTCGAGCCCCGAAAGCTAAAAGGGCGAGGCCTCCTCTGGAGTCTGGAGCCCCCTGTCCCTAGGTGCGTGGCTTGAGCGGGCTTCCGCGGCCTGGATTCTGCTTGCCTGTTGCTGCTTCTTGCTGCTTTTGCCGTCGTCCTCGCCCCCGACCAGCCCGTGATCCACCCGCGACCCGCCCAGCAACCCACCCCGCGCCCGCCCCTCACTCTTGTCCGCAGCTGCGGGCAAACCAGCGAGGCAGCCGGGCGCCCCTACGGCGCATCGGCAGTACCTGACGCCTTGAACCAGACCAGACACACGAGAAACGCAGCCATGACCACAAACGTAGAGGAGGATGAGGAGAAGGAGGACGAGGAGGAGGACGAGGAGGAGGAGGAGGAGGAGGAGGAGGAGGCGGAGGAGGATGAGGATGAGGAGGAGGAGGAGGAGGCGGAGGAAGCGCCACCATGGGTGGTCCGGGCGTCCACGTTTGCGCTTGGCGGTGCCACTGCCGGGTGCTACGCAGATCGTGCCCGCCCCCCGCCGTATCGGCGGGGGCGGTCGTGCTCGGCAGGGTGCGGCGCCAGCCCCGCTTCGCGCGCCGAGGCTCGAGGGTCAACATTCGAGGTTCCAGGTGCGAGGCCCGAGGGCCGCCTGGATCGAGGATCTGGGGTCGAGCCTGTCCCTCCCCTCCGCCCGAGGCTCGGCTCGGGCGAAAGGGGGGGATAGCAAAGGGGCGGGGGTGAGAATCAGCTCACGCAGCTGATTTTCCCGGCGCCTCCCGGCGCCGGAGGCGGCTAGGTATCGAGGAATGGGCCCCTCGGTGAGGCCGACACCAGCTGCATGCCGCAAATTTCGTAACCCCCCCTCTCCCAATCCCCCCCTTTCGCCCGGCCCGATCTCTGGTTGCACCCCACGGGGCGGAAAGTCGTCGAGCCCTGCGGGCCTTGCCGGAAAGGGGACGAGACGTGGAGGAACAAGCCGTCACGCCCTTGACAGGGGAGCGAAAGCGGCATAGGAGGCGGCATAGGAGGAGGAGGAGGAGGAGGAGGAGGAGGAGGAGGAGGAGAAGGAGGAGGAGGAGGAGCAAATTTCGTACCCCCCCCTTTCCCAATCCCCCCCTTTCGCCCGGCCCGAGGGGCGCTGCTGCCGCAGAGGAGCCGCGGCCGCGCTCCGCGGCCTCGGGCACCGCCGCGGCCGACAGCGCCGCGCCACCGGGGGCCCACGCGAGCGCGGCCCCCAGCGGCAGGAGGGCGGCCGGCGCGCGCCGGGCCCCGCGCGCCATCCGCCTGCCCCCCCCCCCTTCCAAGGCGAGGGCAGGATCGAGGCAGCATCGAGCCGATATATATATATATATATATATGTATCGATACATATATATATATATATATATATATATATCGAGAGTCTCTGAGAATCGGCGGGTTTGGAGGTGTCGGGCGCCGCGGCCGACTCAGAGCGTTCCGGGATCCTCTGGGAGCGTTCCGGAGCGCTCTGGAACGGATTGATCATCTATATTCTAGGCCCGTTCGACCTTCAGCGGCGAGCCACGGGAGCCTCCCATACCATCGTGCTGGCTCTTGCGAGTCGGCGCTAAGCGGCGCTAAGTCGACGCCGATCGATGCTGATCGACGCCGAATCGCGTGCCAGCGCCAGTGACGAGGACAGCGAAGATACGGGGACGAGCACGGCAATGAGGGGGGGACAACGACGAGAACGGCGACAACGACACGAAGGAGGACGACGAACGACACCGACACCACGACACGGCGACACCGACACGATCGAGGGCAACAACGACGACGAGGCCGAGCGTGCCGGGCGCGCGCCGCGCTCCGCGCGCCATCCGCCTGCCCCACCCCCCTCGTCAAGGGGTTAGCGACTCCTGCTGTCCCTGGACTCGCGATGGCGCGTCCACGGCCTGCTCCAAATTTCTCTGGAGATCTCTGGTTGCACCCCACGGGGCGGAAAGTCGTCGAGCCCTGCGGGCCTTGCCGGAAAAGGGGACGAGACGTGGAGGAAAAAGCCGTCACGCCCTTGACAGGGGAGCGAAAGCGGCATAGGAGGAGGAGGAGGAGGAGGAGGAGGAGGAGGAGGAGGAGGAGGAGGAGGAGGAGGACGAGAGGCATACGTTCCACGAGGTCCGCGCGGATCCCTCGAAAGTCGAGGCGGGCGACGCAGAGAGAAGGTGCTGCGCGAGAGGGCGCGACGGCCTCGAGAGGCAGCCTGTGCAGTCCTCCGATGCGGCCCACCTCGTGGAGAACAGGGCGCCGGATTTCACATCACCTGGCACGACCTGCCGACGTGCACGAGCCGCTCGGGTGGGAAGGGGGGAAGTGAAGACGGGGCAAGCAGCAGGGGCGGGAGCCAGGCGAGGGAGCAGCGCACCAAAGAACATCCTCCCTCGGCGGCGCGCCGAGGGGGGACGTGCCGATCCTTCGGAAGGCGTTGGCCGTGCGTCAAGGGTCAAGGAGTTCCACCATGTAGTGTCGATCAGCTAGTGACCGCTCAAAGAGTCGTCGTGGGACCTCGATGGTGGATAGCCTCCCTTCGTCATGTGTGGAATCGTCAGGGCGTGTGCCAGCTTCCGAAGGATCGCCAAGAGGGCGGGGCTTCTCCGAAACCGACGGGACTCTGCTGAAACCCTCTCAACCTCGAGGGCCCTCTGCTGCGTCGGGGAAGGCTTGCAAAGCTTCTTCTTAGAAGGCCAGAGGCCTTCTGAACTTTCTTTCGTTGGGGGCCCCAAAAAGGTGCGGTGGCGGACCGTGCGGCGACCTCGGAATCGCCCAAAGACCTCCCCGCACCGCACGGCTTGGGGACTTTGGAGGCCCCAGCCGCTCGAGAGACGTCCTCGGCGCACGAGGCCCCACAGTCTCACCACACGGCGTGGTCACACTGCACCGTTTGGGGGGCCCCCCACTTCTGAGCAGGCTGGCCCGCCCTCCTCCCTTCCCCCCAGAACCCAGATAGGCGCCCTGGATATGGACGAGAGCCTGGCCCCTATAACTGGAGGCTCGATGTTTTGCCCATATCCAGTGCGCCTCGGCCCTGCGGTGCCCCTTTCCAAGAAAGTCCAACACGCAATCGATACCCATCGGTCGGAAGAAGTAGGTAGGAACATTAAGTAGGAAGACGTTGGAAGTAGATTGGGTTTCCGCCCGCCTCCTGTGGAGGAGAGAAGAGGGAAAGACACTCGACTCTTCAAGTAGGAAGGTGGCTATGGCAGATTGTGATCAAAGACCGATAGGTATGGATATAAGCATTGCCCGCACCCCGTGGACGCCTCGCCGACCAGAAGAGCCCAAAATCGAATCGATAAGTCGGATCCGCGATCGAAGTGAATCGGATCGGCGGAAATCGGCAATCGAATCGGCGGAACTCGGCAGGCTAGTGTATGCCTCCGATAAGAAATCGACCTCATGTCGGAATCCCAAGTCGAATCGAATCGACATCGGAAGCCATCGAAATCGAGTCGAGTCGAGACGGAGGAATCGAAACGAGCCCTGCCGGGGGGCAGCCCGCGCTGCCGCCGGCCGACCCCCCGCCGCCCCCGCCGCGCCCCCGACGCCCGCGCTCGGGCGCGCGCGCCGGGCACGCGCGGGGGCAGCCAGGGCGCCGACACTCCCGCCGCTTCTAGACAAGCGCGCCCCAATGCGGCATCCACTGCGGGGGATTCACGATCCATTACTTTCGGGGATGGACAGAACCCCCTTTAGGAAAACGTGGTTTAGTGAAAACGACCTCGGGCCCAAATCTGGCGGGCGAAAGCCTGGAAACTGACGGCCACGGCGCCCTCTCGAGAACCGAAAACGGACAATTCTCTAATCGACGTGTCACTGTTGGGGGTTCTGTCCACCCCCGAGACTTCTGGGAAGACGCGCCTTCTTCTGACGTTTGCGAGTGGGCACTCTGCGAGCAGTGGAGCGCGCTCGGTGAGCTTCGACCGCGCCAGGGCACCAAAAAAAACGCAGCACGCTCGACGCCGTTGGTGGTGTCCGCAGGAGGGCCAGTCGAGACGCCCAGGCGGTGTTCGTCCTCGCTGCAGAGAGCAGAAGATCCACCCTAAGAAGAATCCCCCCGGCACGCGAAGCCGTTCGGCACACGCAACCAGGCGAGGGAACCCAACGGGGCAGGGCTTTTCAGTAGGCGCCCAGGGCCGTTATATAAACGCCAGTGATCGGGGCCGGGTGGTTTTCCTCCCCTGATTCTAGGCCTCCTGCGGGCCTCCCGTAGCCACGTCCGGAGCCGCCTGGGGAAGCGGGCCAGGACGGGCCCTGGGCGGGATCCGGGGAGCCCGCTGTCCATCGACTTTTGGGGCAGACGGCGCTGGGCGGGAGCCGCCATTGCCTCGGCTGGCCCTGCTCCGAGGTGTGGCACCACAGTCGCGGTCTACAGCGTGAGCCTGCGTCGAGGGCAGACTTGGGATTCCGCGTCGAGGACGGCAGTTGGGACCCTGCGTCGAGGGGATGCGCACATGTCCGTCGGGGTCGAGGGGCTACCGCACATCTCAGACGGTGTCGAGGGCTACGCACCCATCATTTGAGATCCTGCGTCGAGGGCGGACTAGCCAGCCTGCTTGGATGACGGGGGCCTTGCTTTGAGGACGGGGCTCAGATGCCACGACGGCAGGGGCCAGGAGGGGAAGCGCCGAAACGAGCCACGCGCGACAAAGCAGTGTGCCAGATCTACCATAGGCCGAAGCCCAGCATGCGAAGGAAGGTATCAGGGCCGCGGGCGTCCGAGACATAGTTCGGTGGCAACTGATGGGACCCTCCCATGGCAGATTGTCGGCTCTTGCGAATCCACGCTGGTCGACGCTAGATCGACGCTAGATCGACGCTAAATCGACGCTGGCCGACGCAACATCGGCGCTGTCTCGTCGACTACCAGACGCTAATCGATGCGATTCGACGCCAAAAGCGGAACTACGAGGGTACGCAAGGCTCCTATGATTTTCGACCCAGACCTAACACGCACATCCCCGTACCTGGGCGGCCACGCGGCCAGCGTCGCAGTGCTCAAGCAGCCAGGCGAAAGACCCAACCACATGCAAATGATCTTGCCGCGTTGCGGGCACCGCTTTCGGTGGAGATCCCTATGGGGGCCACGACACGCGTGAGGGGTGCGTCCAACTGGGCGGGGGACCGCACGCTGACCCCGCCACCGGGGCTTTCGGCAGAGCTCCCGATGGGGGCCACGACACGCGTGAGGTGTGTGTCCAAACGGGCGGTGAACCGCACGCTGACCCCGCCACTGGGGCCTTCGGTGGAGATCCCTAAGTTGTCGAGACCCCTGGGGCCGCGCACTGGAGAAATCCCATCGTCGGATGTGTGGCAGCCGGCCGGATGAGCAGGGAATTGGCGAAAAGGGTGGCGAACCGGCTCTCGAGGCAGGCACTTCTCGTCGCCAGTGCTTCGAGGAGAAGGAACCCAGCGGCGGGGCCGAAAGCAGCGGCGTGCAGCAGACGTCGTAGCCCACCGCTCCCTATCCTGAGTGGGGCCGAAGAGGGAGACTGTTGAATCGGGGGCGCGCAGGCATGGATTAGCGGTCCACGCATTTGGCGCGCGGTCGCCAAATCCATGGATCGGGGGAGGTGCCATCCCCAAAATGCGGCTGGTGCCGCCTCGCTCGGCGGCGGAGCTCCGCGATTTCGCATGGAAACGGGACCCGTCGCTGATCCACGCCGCCTTGATCCATGATTGCGATCGCCTGGTTCAAGGGGGGGAGGCAATGACCTGGAGTCGGCGATACATCGCCGACGGACTGGCGTCTTGCCCCCGATGGCGAATCCGCCCGTTCCTTGGCGGGGTGGGGGGCGCAAGGCCTGATCGGCGGTGCGACTGCGGGTCGATGCTGCCCCGCTGTGCCAGTCCCGCCTGGTCGGCGCCCCGGACTGCGCAGGACGAAAAAACGATGTCATGATGAGAGTGGCTCCCGGATGCAGTGGAGGGCTGTCCAAAAAAGAAACCTTCCACAAGAGACCCAACCCTGAGACCCCAGAACGTCCATTGATTTTGGGTGTGGGAGCGCCACGCTTCCCATAGCAACACCATCGAACCCCAAGAAACCCAGGGCACCCTGGAGGCAAGCAAGATGATTCTTGGTCTGGGTCTCCACTGTACGTTCCGGGATTTCCGCAGGTATCCAGCGGCGCAGGCGGTGCGGTGCTTCCGGAACTGTGGGGGGAACCCTGGAAACCGGGAGAAAGTCCCGGAGCGCATCAGTCTCATGACCTCTCGCTCCTCTCACGATGACCTCCTCTCCCGGGAGCGCTCAAGGGGGGGCTGGGAGGGCTTTCCAGAGCGGGGGCGTCCCAGAGGGGGGGGCGAGGGCGTCCCAGAGGAGGGGTCGCAGAGCTTGGCCCGAGGCAGGCGCGCGGACGAGAGGGGGGCTGCGGGGCACGTGCTGATAACAAGGAGGCGGGGCCATGGCCGCGGCCCATGACATCTCCCCACCCCCCGGCCATCGCCCCCCCCCCCGGCCATCGCCCCCCCCCCCCCCCGGCCATCGCCCCCCCCCCCGGCCATCGCCCCCCCCCCTCGTCAGGAGCGAAAGAAGGACGCGCACGTGCATGAATCCACGTCGGCCTCGACAGCACGTGCTGCGCGATTGCTCGTGGAACGAGGCAGGCCTCGCGGACCCGGGGCCCGTATTCATGCACGTGGCTGGGCGCGCACGCCCCTTGTGGGCTCCCACTCCAGGGCGCCCCCCCCCGTTTGGGCGACGACGACGGCGGCGGCGGCGGCGGCGGCCGCGACGCCGACGCCGACGCCGACGACGCCAACGACGCCGACGACGCCGACGACGCCGACGACGCCGACGACGCCGACGACGTTGACGACGACGCCGACGACGTTGACGACGACGACGACGACGACGACGACGACGACGACGACGACGGCGGCGGCGGCGGCGGCGGCGGCGGCGGCGGCGGCGGAGGCGGCCCCCTGCGGGGCCCCTGCGCGGCAGAGCCGGTGGCCCGACGCGGACGGCGGGGAGGGGCGCTCACGGACGCATGTGTTCGGGTGGCGGGCTGGCTTGAGAGGCACCGAGAAGGGGGTACTGGCACCGAGGAGGAGGAGGAGGAGGAGGAGGCGGTGGAGGAGGAGGAGGGGGAGGAGGGGGAGGGGGAGGGGGAGGGGGAGGAGGAGGAGGAGGAGGAGGAGGAGGAGGAGGAGGAGGAGGAGGAGGAGGAGGAGGAGGAGGAGGAGGAGGAGGCGGGAGGAGAAGGGGGTACTGGCAGAGGGGGTACTGGCAGATGCAGCGACCCAGAGTCGGCGATGCTCTGCCGATATGGAACGGCGAGAGGCCCCCGACAGTGACTCCGCAGCTTCCTGGGCGGGCTGGGGCGATCGGGGTCCCTAGCGGCGAGCAATGGGCGATTGGGGGGCGATGCGTCCCTTCCTATCGGGAGCGGCCAAGAGGGGGGTGTCCAAGAGGGGGGGGTGCAAATCATGACCGTCGGCATGTGCGCGGACCGGCGGGGGGGCCAGGGACGTAATGGAATAAGAAGAGGCGCCATGAAATCTGGGGAAATATCATGGCCCACGCCATGATATCCACCCCACCCTAGTCATCACCCCCCTCTTTTCCGCCCCCGATCCTATGCCTATTCCCCCCCTGTCGTTGCCCCTGATAGCTAAAGGCGCGCCCGGGCCAGAGGAGCCGGGGCGGCTGCTGCGTTTGCCTCGTGGGCTGCTCTCTGGCACAGGGGGGCGTGTCTCCGAGGCTGTGCCTCCAGAGGTCGAGGCAGCGCTCGCGGGGGGCAGGCCACGCGGGGTGAAGAGAAACCGCGCGCCGTTCGTGAACTTTTTGGGGGGCCCGCGGCGACAAGTGAGGGGCCCCATCCAGGCCCCTTTTGCGGGCTCTCCCCTGCAATCCTCCGTCCCCGTACAATCGACCCGTGTCATAAGGATGCGCGGTAAGAGTGCAAGGGGCTTGAAGGCCCATGTGAACGTTTTCCGAGCGAGGTTGGCCAGCGGAAGCCGCTGAGGATGGGCCGACGGAGCAAGGAAGCAAGAATACCCTTGGGAACGTTGCCCATCCTTTCTATGCGGGCTGGCTGTACGTGTAGGTCGGGCATGTCCCCCTACAGTCAGATTCTGAGAACAAGTGCCAGGAACTGCTCAAAAATAGTCAAACAATGGTGGAAATATCGCCCCCAGACTATTTTCTCCCCGTTTTTTAATATTCAAGGGCTCCCAACTTCGCGCTTCGCGCTGCGCGAAGCGCGAAGTGCGAATCACTTCGCGCTCTCGCGCCGCCTCCCAGGGGAGAAGAGGAGGATGAGGGGGAATCGGAGCCGAAGCCCGAGGCGCGAAAAGCTTCGCGCCCTCGAGGGCGCCCTGGTTTTTGAATATTCTTCCTGTCGAGGGACGTGCCCGACTTCACGCTCGGCCCCCCGTGACCAAAGCGGGCAGCCCGCGGAGAAACCAAAATGATCACTGCCCCAAAGAGGGGCGACCGCGGAGCGACCGTATAGGCCGAGAGCGGCCCTCGCGCGAGAGGCCGACGCCCGCGGGGACGCCGGGGCCCCGCCCTCCTGCGGATCGCACCTCCGTGAGGTCGGGCGTGTCCTTCTACATGGGGATTTTGAGCGAAAAATGAACATACTCGAAAACTAAAAAAAAAAATCACAAGATGCCCCAACAAAAATGTTGAAAAATCGTCCCGGACTATTTTTCCATTTTGGAATGTTCCTCCTGTCGAGAAACCGGCCCGACTTAACACTTCCGGCTGCACATCTTGATGGGTCTTCGCGGTGGTCTCGCGTCTGTCCCGCCGAGTTCCAATGTCGCTGTGGCATGGGCTGAGCGAGCTTTTTGAGTCTCCACCATCGGTCGGGGCACCCTGCACCAGATGTAAGCGCCCCGCTCTCGTAGGAATCTGCTACTGTGGGGGGCCTAGAGGTTGACGTCAACACCAATATCGGCGGTGTGCCTCCACCGAGGGAAGGTGCTCCCGATCTCGGTGATGGTGGCATGAGTCTGGCGTCCTAGGTGGCCGAAGTATTACCACCAACGCCGAATTCTAGGAGCATATTCCCCCAGTTGGGGCATGCCCGTGGGTTGGAATTGGTGCCCAGTTGCAGGCCTCCTATCCTGGGAGTTACTCGTAGAAGCGGCCTCGGGCTCTGGAGCCCGAGTGAGGAGACAAGTCAACGCCAAGCCAACAGAAACCCAGAGATAAGTTGGAGTCGACGGGATTGGGCCAGATTGAAGGGAATCCAACGGGACTCACCCGGATTATACACATAGCTTCGACCCCTCATGTAGCAACGCCCATGCGTGAATCTAGCCTCCCACGAACTGCATCCAACCCACCCTGCCCAGACGAGCAAATGAACCGAACAAAACAGGACATCAGCAACACTGAGAAGACGGGTCGAGGATCAGGTTGGGTAGTGAAAACGTCCATTCGCATGTATCCCTAAAGATTACTGGGACATGTGCAGCCGGGACAACGGTGAGCACGGCAGTGTGTACCTAATATACACCTGGAATAATGGCAGTGCAGCTGGCAATGAGGCGGCTTCACGATCCTCAATTACTCGACACGGGGATGCCCAATTGTGCATATCATACTCCTGGCACGCTTCGCGGGAGAACTCTGCCTATGACAATCTGAGTGTCAGAGAGTCCGCGTAGAAGATAGGCCGGGCAATCACGACGTCGACAGGGACGACTTCAATGACGTCCTCCTCCTCCTCCTCCTGCTCCTCCTCCCTCTCCTCCTCCTCCTCCTCCCCCTCTGCCTCCTCTAAACAGATTTCGAGAGAGACAAGGGAGACACACGAAGAAGAGCGAAGGGGAATTCCTCTTGCCGTTCTCCCTGCGGCAACTCTGGCAAGCGCGCATGGCGTTGCTGCGCCCGCTCTCCAACGCGCCATTCGGGGCGCCTGCTATTTCGCGGTAACCATGTGTGTTTGCGAGCCATCGAATGCGACTGAATGTGAGCGCGGGTCATATTTCTGTGATGGAGTCGGAATGCGAGTGGATCAGGCACGATGGAACCAGAGCGTGCGTGAGTTTGGACATAGCCAGTGTGAGTACGGGTGGGTCTGGGTATGAGTGAAGCTGGGTGCGAGCGACTCTGAGTGCGAATGTGTCGAATTGCGACTGGGTCTGAAGATGAGTGGGTCGGAGTTTGATTGTGATGAGTACAACGACTAAATATGAGTAAGTGAGCGAGGGTGCGAGGTAGTCGAAGCACGAGTGAGTATAAGAGCTGGTTGGTCTGTGCGTGAGTGAATCTAAGTGTGCAATGGTCGAGATGTGGGTGAATATGGGTGTGAAAAATCGGGCGATGATCGAGCCCGTACGTGTGAGCCTGAGTCGGATCGAACAGAAACATGAGCAAGCCGCATGAGGAAGTCCGGATGCGGACAATTGCGTCCGAGTGGGGAAACAGGGGAACGAGGTGACTGACTGAGGAGCACACCAGTCCAACATCAAAGTCTCGGGGGGGGGGGGCAGAAGCAGGCAAACCGCCTGAGGCATTCCGACAATCGGAGCGTGATTCCTGAACTGTCCCCGCCCATGGCGGTTCCGCCTTGTGGTGCTCAAGTGTCACGCATGATATATCACGGCGAACCCTGGACCACCAACAGAGAAAGTCGGAGGGGGGGGCGAGACAGGCAAAACGCCTCAAACATCCCCACAATCTGGTCGCGTATCCTGGAGCGTCCCATCGCCTGACGGCTCCCAATTGGGCTCGGGGTGCCCAAGTGCCACACCTGATATGTCGCAGTAGGCACTGGACCACCATCAAATTAGTCAATGCGTGAAGCTCCCCATGTGTGCATCTATCTGCATGAACTTTTCCTGCCGTGGCTGTCTAGGCGCAGCTGCTCTCGAATATAAGCGGACTTGGGTTTGACAGGCTGGGAACAAATCTGTGAATGAATTGGAGTGTGACTGGGTCTCAGTAGTGGGGATGAATATATGCGCATGGGCCCGGGCATGTCTAAACTTAGGATGGGTGTATCTGCCCGTCAGTGGCCTGAGCGCGGCTGAGTCGAGCTGGCTACGCGATCTATCCCTCCATGACGCAGCAAGGAATAGCGGTGCCCATGCAAACGCCGTGCGTCGAAGCCGCCGAGGCCGATCCTCTGGACTTCGTGTGAAAACATTGAATTTCTCAGCATCTAGTCACGACGAGTAACACACTCGCCCATTACACCACCCCCTCCCGAACCCCCCCTCGGCGCGGGCGCGGGCGTTGGCGGCCGCCAGCAGCGCCGACGGCGGGGGCGCAGCGACGACGACCCCCCCCCCCTCCGTCGGGGGGGGGGAGGGGGGGGGGGTCGAACGCCTCCCCTCCCCCCCTCCATCCAGAGCGGCGGGGGGGGCCCGGTCCCAACCCCCCCCCCATCCAAGCGACCACGGAACGCGCTCGCTCTGTCAAACTGCAGATTGAGCCCGACCCTCGGAGGAGACCCCCATCGGAGGGCTGCCCAGCTCGAAGCACATCCGCGGCTGCGCTGGTCAAGCGGGGCGAAGGAAGGCCGGGCGGAGCGCGCGACCACATCGCGATCCGCGAGACACCCGACTCCGAGACCCAGGACCCCCAGTACGACGTGAGCGTAAGCCTGGTCGCCAGTGCCGCAGTCAGCAGCTCGGGGAAGCCTTTCGGCCCGCGGAACGGCCAGTCGGAGATCTCGAATGAGGTAGGTCATCCTGCCCAACGCCTCCGAGAGCATCACCTGATGACCCGGCCCGCGTCGCGAGAGCGACAAGATGCGAGGATCCCGTCCAGTCCCCCGCCCCTTCTCCGCGCGCCAGTCCTCCTCGTCGGTCTTCTGGACGTCCTCCACCGAGGCCCATCCCTCCTCCTCGCTGATCATCGCAATGCCGACAGCGTCGCGATACACCAACCGCTCTGGATTGCCCGACACCTGCAGGTCGAGCTCCTTGCCGAAGTCGGGAGTGCCCGGGTCCGAGACGATCCACCGCGGCACGGTGGCCCCAGGAGGAGCCGCGGGGACGGTCACGCCCATCACGATGGCGAGCCCGCGCGCCTCCACACGGAACGCCTC